AGGGAGACCCTGTCTCAAAAAGACCAAAAAATAAATAAATTAATTAATTAATTAATAAACAAATCCGAAAAGTGGTAGATACTATGGGGAAGTTACTTGAAACAGGGAAGTGAAAAACGTATGTGTTGGGATTTTAAATAAAGCTGACAAAGCCAGGCACACCTTTAATCCCAGCACTCAGGAGGCAGAGGCAGGCAGGATCTCTATGAGATCCAGGCCAACCTGGTCTACAAGGTGAGTTGTAGACCAGCCGGGGAAACAAATCCGAAAAGTGGTAGATACTATGGGGAAGTTACTTGAAACAGGGAAGTGAAAAACGTATGTGTTGGGATTTTAAATAAAGCTGACAAAGCCAGGCACACCTTTAATCCCAGCACTCAGGAGGCAGAGGCAGGCAGGATCTCTATGAGATCCAGGCCAACCTGGTCTACAAGGTGAGTTGTAGACCAGCCGGGGCTACAGGGAGACCCTGTCTCAAAAAGACCAAAAAATAAATAAATTTAAATAATAAAGTTGTCAAGAGAGGCTTCATTGACTTAACACCAGAGACCTAAAAAGGAGGTGAGAGAGAGCCAGATATGACTGGAGCAAGAATAAGCCAGGAAAAGCTCCAGACCATGCAGAAGCCCTGAGGCAGGAAGGTGCTTAGTATAAGTGAAGAGTAATAAAATCAGTGTTGTTGGGACGGCAAGGTGAAAAGTGGTAGGAAATAATTTTAGAGAATTGACAGGGACCAGATGCTGCTGGGTCATAGGTGAAGGTGTTGCTCTTGATACTGAGATGAGAACCCAGAGAAAACCTTCAGGGTTGTGGACCAAAGACCCCTGACTGGGGTCGTGACTAGATCCCTCAGGCTGCTTGAACAGTGTGAGGGGCAGAGGTGGAAGCAGGGACTCCAGGAGGAGGATACTGCGGTAGCTCAGATGAATGATTGATAGCAGTGGTGGCAGTTGTGGCTGGCAAGGAAAGAAGGGTTGCTTTTTTAAAAGCAGATCTGCGACAATGGGGGCAGGGGAGGACCAGGATAATAGGGACTAAAGATTTTGGCCTGAATAACTGGAAGAGTTGGGTAGGCTGAGGAAGATGGTAAGAGGAGGTGGAAGGGAGAGTGGAAGTTTGGCTTTGGGCTTGTTGAGCCTGTGGGGCTACTCTATAAAGCTGAGAGGCACCATCTTGGCTAGAGGTGAAAATGCTAGTGCTGCTTGTGAGTGAAGTTATTTCCAGAATTGAAATGACTTCCCAGGGTCTAGGAGCTCAGGGTCCAAATCCAGTTGGCAGGTAGTACTCTGTATACAGAACCTTAGCAGAGGGCCGGGGAAGCATTGTCTTTAATTTTCTAATCTCTCATACAAGAAGACACGTTGAATCAGAGGGTCCCCTAATGCTATTCTTCTCACCACAGTCACTGGCCTCCATGATGTCGATGAATATATGCAGGCCCAGCTTCTCCTAGCTGTGAGTAACCCTGGCCGCCCATGCCCTCCTTTGGCCCTCTTGGCTGCCTCCGCCATAACCATCTTGTCCTGTTCACAGGCTCTCAACATTGCTACACACGTCTTGAAGCCAGGGGGCTGCTTTGTAGCCAAGGTAAGCCTTGGGGAACCTGGGTAAGTGTTGAGAAAGATCTCTGAGGGTCACCCATATCGCTCCATCTCGACTTACCCAACCTACAGATATTCCGAGGCCGGGATGTGACTCTGCTCTACAGCCAGCTGCGTGTCTTCTTCTCCAGTGTACTCTGTGCCAAGCCCAAGAGCAGCCGGAACTCCAGCATTGGTCAGTCGGGTGGAGACCTGACAGGCAAGAGGGTGCTCAGACGTGTGTCTGCACAGAGTTGTGATGGCGGGCATTCACCCCTCACTGCATCTTCTCCCCACAGAGGCCTTCACTGTTTGTCAGGGTTATGACCCTCCTGAGGGCTTTGTGCCAGACCTCACCAAACCCCTGCTGGACCACTCATACGGTGAGAGCCAGAGCTAGTGGCCCATTCCTGGGGGAAATGCCCCAGCCACATGTGCTTGATGTGTCATAGGAGCCCTCAACCTCAGTGCTCTGGTGGCAGCTCTACCCCCTTGGGAATATGCGGTACTAGTAAAGGGAGCTTCAGCTCAGATAGCCCTCTGGTGGTAGCTCTTGGTCCTGGTGGAAATTCTGTTGGAACAGGTAGTCCTAAGCCCTTACACAGGGAAGATCCCAACTATCTATCCTAGGAAAACCCTCAGGTAGAAAACTTAGCTGTGTTAAATGCCGCGCCCCCCCCCCATGCAGGTACCTTACCCATAGGGAGCAGAGACAGTGTCTGCCTGTATAGATTCCATTCAAGTCAGACAAGGTCCAGACAGCATGTGCTAGAATGCCAGATGGCCATGAGTGCAATGAAAACCCATACAAGAGACTGACATTTTTGAAGTAGTAGTCAGGCAAGCAAGCCCCCTAAGGAGGTGATCTGTACCAGAGAACCAGTTGCCAATGGAACAGTGGGGGATGTGTGAGTGTGGCTGGGCAATGTGTGGGAAAGATCAGCCTTCTGTGCTGCAGCCTCTGTCATGTCTAGCCTCGCCCTGATCTTCTCTCTGCATTTTTCTAAGATTCAGATTTCAACCAGCTGGATGGTCCCATCCGTATTATTGTGCCCTTTGTGACCTGTGGGGACCTTAGCGCCTATGATTCAGACCGAAGTTACCCACTGAATGTGAGTATCAAACCAGCAAGGAGATGGATGAAGGAGGCTGTTGCAAGTTCTCAGATCCTCACCATGTCTCCTCTCATGTCCCACAGCTAGAGGATGGCTCTGAATACAAGTATACTCCACCGACACAGCCCCCCATCTCACCCCCATACCAAGAGGCCTGTAAGATGAAAAAGAAGGGGCAGTTGGCAAAGGAGCTCCACCCCCAAGAATGCCCCATCAGCAGTGGACATGTTGCCCCAGCCCCTGGCTGTCCCTCAGCACCATTCCCTGTTGGCCCCCAAGGTATGGATGTGCCCCTGAGCCCACCCTGACCCCTTCCCAATGTGCCTCTTTCTGCCCTGACTGACAGGGTTCCTCTTTCCTGCCTCACTACAACTATAAGAATCAGTAAGTCACTGGGCATGGTGATGCACGCCTTTAGTCCCAGCACGCCGAGGCAGAGGAAGGCTGCGGATCTCTGTGCGTTCAAGGCCAGCCTGGACTACTTAAATCTCTTCTTTTTCTTGAGCAGGTAGAAGACAATGGAATGAATTGTTCACTTTAATACATTAAAGGTAAATTTACCTTTCTAAAAGTAAAGGGTACCTTTAAGAAAAAGCTCAGTGGGTTGAGGATGTAACTCAGTTTGTAGAGTTTTTGCCTAGAATGCACAAATCCCTGGGTTCAATCCCCAGTACTGCATAAAAAAGTAGGTGTAGTAGTGCCTGTAATCCTAGCACTAAGATGAGACAGGAGGATCAGAAGTTCAAGGACATCATCAGCTACATATCAGGTTTGATTTATTTTTTTTTATTTTATGAGTGTTTTGCCTCCATGTATATACTCACACTCCTGTCATGCAAAGCCTGTAAAGGCCAGAAGAGGGCGTCGGGAGCCCTGAAACTGGAGTTACAGACAGTTAGGTACCATGTGGGTGTTGGGAACCACCTGGGTCCTCTGCAAGAGCAGTCAGTGGTCTTAACCTCTGAGCCATCTCTCTAGCCCTACATCACAGGTTTGAAGCCAGCCTGGGCTACATGAGAACTTGACATTAAATTTTTCATTACATTTTATGTGTTAGGTGAAAGCAAGCATGCCATGGCATGTGTGTGGAGGTCAGAGGACAACTTACAGATGTTGATTCTCTCCTTTTACCATGTGGTGGGTCCTAGGAATCTAACTCAGGTTGTCATACTTGGCAGCAAGCACCTTTACCCACTGAACCATCTTGCCAGTCCTTTTTTTTCCTTTTTTAAGATATGGTCTTATTATGTGGCCCAGACTGGTCTCAAACTCCAGGACTCAGATAGTTTGCTCCCTTCAGCCTTCCAAGTAGCTGGAATAACAGGTACTAATTGTTGCATCTAGCTGTTTCACTTTGAGGTTATAGCTATAGCTTTATGCTATAGCTCAGAGGTAGAGCATTTGCCTAGCCTGGGTGAGGCCCTGAATTCAGTCCCCAGCACTAAATAAATAAATAAGTGGGTGGGTGGGTGGATGGATGGATGGATGGAGATGGATATATTTTATCTTTGAAATGTTTCATCCACTTGTAAAATTTCAGTCAACAGCCAAGCCTGGTGGTACAGGCCTATAGTCTCTTCATTCAAGAGTCTGAGGCAGGATGTTCACCTGTTCAAGGCTAGTTTAGACCACACAGTGACTCTATCTTTTAAAAAATGTTTTTCTGCTGGCGACACAGGTGCACTTACTTACATGCAGGCATAACACTCATACACATAAAATTAAAATAATAAAATATTTTTTAAATATTTTTTAAAAAATGTTTTTGTGCTGGTTAGAGTGCTTGCTTTTCATTTGCAAGGCCCTAAGTTTAATCCTCAGTACTCCTAAAGAAACCAAACAAAAACATCAGGGGCTGGAATGTAGTTCAGTTGGTAGAGTGCTTGCCTAGGATGCACAAAGTCCTGGGATCAATCCCTAGCACTGCATTAACTGGATTTGGTGGCCCATACTTAGGTATGGTAAGACGTTCAGAAGTACAAGTCATCCTTAGCTACATAGCAACTTTGAGGACAGCCTGAGCTACATGAGACCCTGTCTTAAATAAAAACGAAGTTTTTTTTTCAATCAGTGAATATTTAATAAGCATCTATTGTATGCTTAGAACGGAGAATTTTCATATTGAGGCATCTGGTAAATATTGAGTATGAAGCCGGGTATGGTAGCGCACGCCTTTAATTCCAGCACTTTCGAGGCAGAGGCAGGCAGATCTCTGTGAGTTCAAGGCCATCCAGGTCTACATAGTGAGTTCCAGGACAGCTGGGACTACAGGGAGACCCTGTCTCAAAAAGACCAAAAAAATACATAGAGAGAGTATGTACTTCCAGGCATTATTTTAGGTTTAGAGATACAGCAGGAAACAAAGCCTTTGAGTTTATACACTGTAGCTTATATTTGGCTATATTTACATATCTTGCAATGTGCTACAAAATAACAGCTTTGTCAAAAAGGACCACATATTGTATGGGTCTCATAGGAAATCTTATAGTCTAGTGGCATTTGTGTTTGTGTAAGTACACTCTGATGTTCACATAGTGACAAAATAACCTAAGGATGTTTCTCAGTGTGACCCTTTTACTAAAATGTATGGCTGTATAATATGTAAAATAGTCTATGAAAGGTAGGAAATAGTAAAGCAGAATGAAGAACATCAGAAAATGTAGGCATAGCTGTTTGAAGTTTTTAAAAGTGTTGTCTGGGAAGAGCTGTCTGAGGTAAATGTTTAAACAAAGACCTGAAACCACTGACAGAATTCCATGGGTTTATCTAGGGGAAGAGCATTCCAGACAGTGAACCACACCAAGTTCCAAAGGTGAAACTGCCTGATATGGTAGAAAAGAGCCAGATCCAGGTGTGGTGGAGCACGCCTTTAGTCCCTTTGAGATTAAAGCTTGGTCTACATAGGGAGTTCCAGGCCAGCTGGGGCTACACAAGGATATCAAAAAAGATAAAGGCATCTTAAAATACTGAAACAAGGGGAGCCTGTAGAGCTGGTTCGGTGGTTAAGAGCACTAACTACTCTTTCAGCAGACCCAAGCTCAGTTCCCAGCACCCACATGGCAGCTAATAGTCGTCCTTAATTCCAGTTCCTGGGGGTCTGATGCCGTCTTCTGGCCTCTGTGGGCATTGCATGACATGGGTGCACTTACATGGAGGCAAACACTCATACACATAAATAAATCAAAAAAATTTTTAATTGAAACAGACTGGTTGTGATGATACATGCCTTTAATCCCAGCGCTCAGGAGGCAGAGGCAGGTGAATCTCTGTGAATTTAAGGCTAGCCAGGGCTAATGAAACCTTGTCTCAAAAAAAATGAGCTAGGTATAGTGGCACACGTCTTTAATCTCAGCACTGGGGAGGCAGAAGAGGCAAGCGGATCTCTGAGATGGAGGCCAGCCTCATCTACATAGCAAGTTCCAGGCCAGCTGGGGCTAAAGGGACATGCTGTCTCAAAACAATATCCAAAATAAAATAAAATATAAAATAAATTGAAACAGGGCTTGGTGTAGCTCAGTAGTAGGGTGTTTACTTGGTTTCATCACTGACAGCATATTTATTTTTTAAAATTGAAGCTGCACATCACAGTAGAAGATAATCATAATTCTTATGTATGGTGTCCTTAGTATTAAGAAAGTCCTATAGAGGCCCACTCCACAAGATGGAACGCTGCCTGGCACTGTTATTGGGGCTAAGATCCTATGGCTAAATAGATCATAGGCCCTAGGGGAGAACCTACTACTGTTAATCTGCTAAATGAATGCAGTATTAAGCTGAGTTTGAATGACTTGCCTTCCATACCCATAGAGTAGTGCATCTCTCAGCCCTCATCAGAGAAGCTTCTTGGAGTAGATGGCAAATAACACAGACCCACAACTGTTCAACATGCGGAAAATAAGAGGCTGTAGAGTGCTTAGCCCTAAATGGGACATCTGTGTCACACCTCTCCCCCCAAGGCTCAGGGGTGGCTTTGGAAGAGGAAGCATAAAGATTGTAAGAGCCAGAGATGGTGGATGAATACAGCAAAACCTTTTTTCGGGCACAACAGGGCAGTTAGTTGCACATGGCAACTCACTGCAGTTGACAACATGCACAAGCTCTGCTCAAACTCAAGGCACATAAAATCCCAGTGTGGAGGGAAAGGTGGCACTAGCAATTGGTAACTGCTGCGAGAAAAACAGTTTTCTCTAAGCGTGTGATTCATGGTAGGTATCGGGATGGCCTCACATCTAAGAGTATTAAAATATTAAGGAGAAAAAAATATTAAGGAGAAAAAATAGTAGCACACACCTGTTATCCCAGCACTCAGGAGACTAAAACAGGAAGGTTGTGAGCATGAAGCCAAACTGAGCATATGGAATCCATCTCAAGCTATGGCTAAGGATGTAGCTCAGTGATAGAGCACTTGCCTACCATGTGTGAAGCCACCAGCACTGCAAAAAAATTTAAAATCTTTCTTAAGACTGGGCCTGGTGGTGCATGCCTTTAACCCCAGCACTCAGGAGGCAGAGGCAGGCTGATCTCTGAGTTAAAGGCCAGCCTGATCTACATAGTGAGTTCCAGGTAAGCTGGGGCTACAGGGAGACCCTGTCTCAAAAAGACCAAAAAAAAATCTTATAAATAAAAAATGAGACAAAAGCATGAGAATAGCCAGTAAGTATATAAAGCTGTTCATTTAGAAAATGCAAAAAAGTTTAAAAAAAGATTAAGTATCTGGAAGAATATACAATAATTGGAACCTTCACCCACAACAGTAGGGTCATATTGTCACCTCTGGAAGATTAAATACTGTCTACTAAAGCTGTGTATGCCAGTTGCACTTCTTTTTAAAAATATTTTTTTTTTGGTCTTTTTGAGATAGGGTCTCCCTGTAGTCCCAGCAGTCCTGGAACTCACTATATAGACCAGGCTGGCCTTGAATTCACAGAGATCCATCTGCCTCTGCCTCCCTAGTGCTGGGATTAAAAGTGTGTGCCACCATGCCCAGCTGGTCACCTTTTTGGGGGGGATAGGGTTTCACTATGTAGATCAGGCTGGCCTTGGACTCACAGAGATCCGCCTGCCTCTGCCTCCCAAGTGCTGGGATTAAAGGTGTGCACCACCATGCCCAGCAAAAATATTTTTAAAGGAAAAAATTAGTCTAGGCCTTTTCGGAGACTAGGTCTCCCTATAGTTCCAGCTGGCCTGGAACTCCCAGAGATCCACCTACTTCTCCCTCCCAAGTGCTGGGATTAATGGCATGAACAACCATGCCCAGCCAAAAAAAATGTTTGTTTTATTTTATGTGTATGAGTATTTTGCCTGCAGATAAAAGTGTACCATCTGCATGTCTGGTGCCCATGGAAGTCAGATAAGGTCATCAGATCCCCTGGAAATGAAGTTAGGGATAGGTGTTAGCAGCCATGGAAAAGCAACAAGTACCCTTAACACTGAGCCATCTCTCCAGCCCCATATAATAGTAATTTTGGCCAGGTGTGGTGGTGCACACTTTTAATCCAGCAGGCAGAGGCAGGGGAATCTCTTTGAGATCAAACCAGCCTGATCTACATAGCAAGTTCCAGGCCAGCTGGGAGACCTTCTCAAAAAGACAAAAAAAAAATTTATTCTTTCAGAAATTCATATAAGGTATTTGATAATATTCACCACCACCCCTATTCCTCCCATATCCACCCCTTCCAATGGTATGTCTTTTGGGGGGGGCGGTCTTTTTTGAGACAGGGTTTCCCTGTAGCCCCAGCCAACCTGGAACTCACTGTGTAGACCAGGCTGGCCTTGAACTCACAGCAATCCGCCTGCCTCTGCATCCAAAGTGCTGGGATTAAAGGCATGCACCACCATGCCTGGCTGTATGCCCTCTTTTTTAAATAGCCCACTGTGTCCCATTTGTGCTGCCCATATACTTGGGTGTGGGGCCATCTGCTGGGGCATGATCAACCTATCGAGAGCCATACCCTTTAAGAAAACTAACTCTTCTCCCCCAGAAGCCATCAATGGTCAGTAGCTACTCAGGAGTGGAGCTCATGAGCCCCTCCCCTCTCCATTCTGGAATGTTGACTGGCTTGATCTTGTGTAGACAACTACTGATAATTAGTTTATGAATGCAGAAGCCCTGTCATATCTAGAAGATACTACTCTTACAGTCTTTCTGTCCCCTTTTCTGTGATGGTCCTTAAGCCTTGGGAGGGAGGATAATACAGATGACCCATCAATGGCTGAGCACTCCACTTAATACTTACTCTCTGCACTTTGATCAGCTGTGAATTTCTGCATTAACCGCCATCCAACTGCTCAAAGAAACTTCTCTGATGAGGTCTAAGAGCTGCAATGATCTTCAAATTTTACAGTTTCATTTTTTGCCAATTACACATCTAAGAAATTAGTTCTAGGGCCAGCAAGATGGCTCAGGAGGTAAAGGCACTTGCCACCAAACCTGATGAACTGAGTTCAACATTGTGGAATGAGAGAACTGACTCCCACAAGTTGTGCTCTACATTTACGCATACATAGACTCAATAAATAAATGTAAAAAAATGTTTTAAAAGAAATTAGTTCTAGGGGGCTGGAGAGATGGCTCAGTGGTTAAGAGCACTGACTGCTCTTGCAGAGGACCCGGGTTCAATTCCCAACACCCACATGGTGGCTACAAACCTTCCTTAACTCCAGTTCCAGAGGAATCCTAAGCTCTTGTCTGACCTCCATGGCACTGCATGACATGGGTGCACTCACATACATGCAGGCAATACACTCATACACATAAAATGAAAATAATATATTTAAAAAAGAAAAAAATTAGTTCTGGGGGAGCTGGAGAGATGGCTCAGCAGTTAAGAGCATTGGCTGCTCTTGCAGAGGACCCGGGTTTGATTCCCAGCACCTACATGGTGGCTAACAACTGTCTAGTTCCAGGGGAATTTGATGCCTTCTGACCTCTGTAGGCATTGCCCAATACTGGTGCACTTGCATACATGCAGGCAATATACACATAAAATAAAATTTAAAAAAGAGTTCTAGAGAAAGAGGGGGCAGAAAGATTGTAAGAGCCGGGGTGGTGCAAGACTAGAAGGAAAGAGAGTCTTCCAGGCTTCTGGGAACTTGCTAATATGAAATTAAAGCAACAGTGACAGTATGTACAAGACCCATGCAAACTTAATCAGACAAAAACCCAGCATAGAACTGGGGAAATGGACAGGAGGCCTCAACCTTAGCCAAAGAACTATTGGCAGCCAGTCACTGCTGGGTGAGGGAGAGTTAGTCTTCTATGAGGGAGTGATGCTAGATAGGTTGAACAAGCTCCAGTGGACGAACTCACACCAAGGGACATCTGGGTACAAAAATTTGACTGGATAGACCTTAACATATATGACAATGCATGAAATCCAGTGGGCAGGCTGGGGGGCAGAGGGGCTGGGGGACTGTAAATAGGGGAAGGGGGGCCTCAATATGATTTAGATGTATTGTATGAAATGCACAAAATTTCAAGAAAAAATAGACATTTTAGGGACTGGAGAGATGGCTCAGTGGTTAAGAACAAGTTCAGCTCCAAACACCCACATGGCAGGTAACAACCATCTGTAACTACAACTCCAGGGAATCCAGCAACTAACCTCTGCAGACATTGCACAACATGGATGTACTTATATACATGCAGGCAATATAGTCATACATAAAATAAAAATAATAAATATTAAACATGGGGCTGGAGAGATGGCTCAGCAGTTAAGAGCACTGACAGCTCTTGCAGGGTACATGGGTTTGATTCCCAGCACCCACATGGTGGCTACAAACCGTTTTTAACTCCAGGTCCAGGGTAATCTGAAGCTCTCTTCTGACCTCTGAGGCATTGCACGACATGGGTGCACTCACATAGATGCAGGCAATAAAGAAACAAAAAAAGGTTTATAGCAGCACTGTTGCACAACATTAAATCAAAGTCTGTTCACAATGAACTACATAGCAATGAGAATGAAAATACAGTTACATGAAATAGCACTTTATAGTTAATCTGAATATATACTTTATGCATTTTTCATGTCATAGTTTGCAGTAAAAGAAAGGTCACAAAAACATTAGCAGTTTAGTGAGCAGTGATTACAGTAGAAGTTGGTACTTTGTTTTGGTGGCCATGCTGGAGAGATAACACAGGCCTTGCACATGTTAGCTATGCACTGTACCACTGAGCTAACTCGAAGCCTCTGGAAATATGTATTTTGTTTGTTTGTTTGTTTAAAACTTTCTTTTTCTGTACCCATTGTTAGCTAACAAACTAATACAACTCAGAAAAACAGAACACGGGTTGATGAACTTGTTTGCAAATACCATCGATTGAGGCCGAACAAACAAGCCCAGAGCAGGACTCTGCAACAACTCACAAATACAAACAGCACAGAAGTCTGCTGCACTGCAGGAGGAATCTTCTTCCAGGGCGCGCGGATGAGACCAGGGGACCAATCCCTGCACCGCAACTCTCCAGGTGTGCCCGCGCACACCACGCAAGGGCGCCCAGCACGCGCACCATAAGGGATCTCCATGAACTTGATGGAGGAAGAGTTACATCATTATTTTCATTAATATAACTGAAAATTAGCTTTATTCCCAGTTATAAACACTGGCAATAAATCACAGCAGTAAAAGTAGTACCTGTAATTTTCCTACTAGTGCAAGTCATTTTTTTATAGTACAGTTGTACAGGCATCTGAAATATTATTCGTATTTCTCATCACTTTGGATAATAGCAGATTTTCTAAGTTGATCCTATAATTTAAAAATCCCAATTTCATTTCAAAAAACAATATAACAATCCCATTTACTCTTGTGTCCTAATTTTTATTTTTTGCCCTTTGCTTTGTTTTGTTTTGTTTTGTTTTTGAGACGGTCATCTTGAGATCCTCCTGCCTCAGTCCCCTGAGTGCTGAGATTGTAGGCATGTGCCACCTCACCCAGGTACTGTATTCCAACTTTATATCAGTTAAATGTACAATGATAATTGTACATCTATGTAATTGGCTTTCATTATATTCCTGTGTGTTTGTAGGCCTATGCAGGTATGCTTTAAAAAAACATCCTGGGGCATGGTAACACACATAGTGAGATGCTATCTTTGAAAAAAATGAGGCACGGCGTGGTGGCACACGCCTTTGATCCCAGCACTAGGGAGGCAGAGGCAGGCTGATCTGTGAGTTCAAAGCCAGCCTGGTCTACATAGTGAATTCCAGGCTACAGGAAAAGCCTGTCTCAAAAAGTCCCAAAAAAAATGTTCAAGCCAAATATGGCAGTACTACAAACCTTTAACCCCAGTATTTTGGAGGCTGAGGCAGGAAGATTATAAATTGAGGTCAGCCTGGACTATGTGGTATCTCAAAACACAGAAAAAAAAATCTATGAAAAGTCCACAGATTTAACCAGATTCCAAAGGGTTTCTCAGAACAAATTGGTTTTGTGTGTGTGTGTGTGTGTGTGCGTGCGTGCGTGCGTGCGTGCGTGCGTGCGTGCGTGTGTGTGTGTGTGTGTGTGTGTTTGGAAAAAGAGTCTTATGTAGCCAAGTCTGGAGTCAAACTTGCTGTGTAGCTGAGGATGGCCACCTTGAAATTCTGGTCTTCCTGCATGCACCACGAGGCTTAATTTCTCCAGAACAAACTTTTTAGGTTAAGAGTCTTTCTCTCTTCACACTTGATTAGCATGTACAAGACCTTGAGTTCTAACCCTAGTACTACAAAAAAAAGAAAAGAAAAGAAATTTTCTAAAGTGTCAGGAAATCTTCCTTGACTGCAGTCCTGAATTTCTACAGCCCAGCAGGCAGTAGCTGACATGAACTCCCCCCATCCATACAGCACCATCTTCTGTGGCTTAATCCTGTGTCTTTAGAAACACCATATATAGGTGTGTCTACACTTAACTTCTGACCACACCGCTCTTTGTGACTCCAGGAATGTCTGTACCCCACTCTGTCTAGAGGTGTTCACACTACAGTGATTTAATCCATGATGAGTCTTCTCATTCAGGTTAGTGTGACCATAGGAATTTCCACTGCCCAGATTATCTGACCCCAGGAATGTATGACAGGAATGTCCATACAAAAGGCCTGTGACCACAGGTGCATCCACACCCATTATAGCACAAATCCATACAAGAGCCTGAGACACCCAACAAGTGCCCCTTTCCCAGGCTCTCTGGGTCCTAAGAGGGGTATGTCTAGAGAGTAGTGATCTAGGCCCTGAGGCCAACAGATGCTTGGCCCATTCAGTGAGCAACAAAGAGACCAATGGAGCTAGAGTAGAGTGAGTAAGAGGACCAGTGTTGGGATATGAGACCAGAGAGAACTTATAGGAGCAAGAAATATCTGAGTAAAACTGCAATAGCACAAGAACTAGCCCCAAGAATTGAGAGATGGGATTATGTAAAACTATAAAGCTTCTATTCAGCAGAAGAAAGTATCAGTAAACAGACAGCCTAGAGAATAGGAGAAAATCTTTACTAGCAATACTTAGGACAAGGAGTTCATATCTAGACTATATAAAGAATTGCAAATTTTAAATATCAAAAAAATCTGCTAATCAATAAATAATTTAATGAACCAGACAGCTCTCAAAAAAGAAATACAAGGGGCTGGAGAGATGGCTCAGCTATTAAGAGCACTTACTGCTCTTACAGAGGACCTGGGTTCAGTTCCTAGCGCCTACATGATGGCTAACAGCCCTCTTCTAGCTCTGAGGGCACTAAGCTTAAAGTGTTCAGCATCCTTAGCCATCAGAGAAATTAAAATTAAACTGCTTTGATGACTGACAAGATGGCTTAGCAGATAAAAGCATTTGCCACCAACCCTGACAACCTGAGTTCAATGCCAAGACCCACATAATAGAGAGAACTGGGGACTGGAGAGATGGCTTAGTGGTTAAGAGCACTGGCTGCTCTTGCAGAGGACCTGGGTTCAATTCCCAGCACCCACATGGTGGCTATGAACCATCCTTAACTCCAGTTCCAGGGGAATCTGAAGCCCTCAGCTGACCCCTGCGGCATTGCACAACATGGGTGCACTCACATACATGCAGGCAATACACTCATACACATAAAATAAATAAAATACTAAAAAGAGAGAGAACTGACTTCCACAAGTTGTCCTCTGACCTACATATGTGTGCCATGGCACAAGCATGCCCATACACATACACTAAATAGATAAATAAATATAAACTACTTTGAAGGGTTAGGGGTGTAGCTCAATTGGGTAGTGCTTGCCTAACATGCACAAAATCCTAGGTTCAACTCCAAGACTGCATAAACCACGCATCATAGCACATGTCTGTAATTCCATCACTGAGGAGGTAGAGGCAGATCATCTTAGGCTACAGAGGGAGTTTGAGGCCAACCCAGGCTATATATGAAACAAGTGTCTTGAAAAAGAAAACAAAAAATAAACTACTTTGAGATCCCATTTTACCTCACCCAAACTCTCATCATCAAGAAAATAAGTGACACCAGGCATGTTAGCACATGCCTTTAATAAGAGGCAGGAAGATCTCTATGATATTATGGCCAACCTGGTCTATATACAGAGTCCCAGGCCAGCTGGAGCAATAGGGAGACCCTGTATCAAAAAAAAAGAAAAAACAAATGACAGTGACTGTTGGTGAAGATGTGAGGATGTGGTGAAAGAGGAATCCTTACTGCTGGTGGGAGTGTAAACTAGTGCAGTTGCTATGGAAATCATTGTAGCAACTTCTCAAAAAACTAAGAATAAATCTTCCACATGACCCTGCTATACCACTCCTGCATGTATACCCAAAGGACTATCTAACTACAGAGGTACTTGTACATCCATGTTCATTGCTGCTCTATTCACAGTAGCCAGGAAATGGAGTTAGCCTAGATATTCATCAACATATGAATGGATAATGAAAATGTACTACATGTGCACAATAGAATTTTATTCAGCAGTAAAGAAAAATGAAATTGGCCGGACCTCATGGTACACACCTTTAATCCCAGCACTCAGGAGACAGAGGCAGGCAGAGCTCTGTGAGATTGAGGCCATCCTGGTCTACATAGTGAGTTCCAAACCAGCCTGGGCTTCAGGGAGACCCTGTCTCAAAAAGACCAAAAAACAAAAATGAAATTTGAAAAAAAAAAAAAAGATGGCACTGGGAAATATGAAGGCAGTGTCAAAAAGACAGATACCACGTACTGTCTCTTGTATGTGGATCCTAGCTTCTATTCGTTAAATATGTCTATCTAGGAGGGAGTAAGTATGGGTAAAGGCCAGGAAACTAGAAAGGAGCCCATGAAACAGGAAGAAAGAAGCTTTAAGGGTAGAGGTTTGGGAAGACAACAAAACACAGGAGATAGGAAAGTGGAAGGGGAGAATACTTGGGGTGGAAAGGTATAGTGGGGAAAGGAGGAGCAGCAAGATGGGAGAGGGGGTGGGAATCAACAAAAACTAAGTATGTATGAAAATACCATAAGGAAGCCTGTGATCTTGTAAGGTAATTTAAAGCAGGGGTGAGGGTTGTTTTGTTGGGTCTTGTGGGTCACAAAGAAGACTGACTGTTTCTCTGATATGGAATCACCCAGGGCAGGGCTCTTTGCACAGGAGGGCTACACATCTCTCATGTTGTAACAGGATCCCTCTTGGTGCTATGGGGGTGGTTACCTGACCTTTGTTTCTGTTTTTGTTTTATCAAAACCCAGAACTAAGGCTGGAAAGATGGCTCAGCAGTTAAGAGCCCTGGTTGCTCCTGCAGAGGGCCTGGGTTCAGTTCCCAGTACCCACATGGCAGCTAACAACATTCCAAAGGATCCAACGCCCTCTTCTGGCCTCCGGTCATTGCAAAACATGTGTGCAATTACACACATGCAGGCAAAACACTCATACACATAAAGTTTAAAAATTAATAAAATATTTTTTAAAACTCAGAACTTGGATGGTTATTGTGGCACATACCTGTAATCCCAACACTCGAGAGGTGGAAGCAAAAGAATGAGGAATTTGAAGTCAGCATGAGCTGCATAATGAGACCTGTCTCAAAATAAGAAAGGGCTGGAGAGCTGGCTCAGCAGGTAAAAGCACGTGGTGCTCTTACAGAGGACCCAGGTTCGGTTCCCAGCACCTACATGACAGCTAACAGCTGTTCTTAATTCCAGTTCCAGGGGATCCATTGTCCTGTGTGAACATTGCACACATGTGGTACACTTACATACATGCAGGCAAAATACTCAAAACACATAAAAACTTAAATTAAAAAAAAATTTAAGTACCCTAAATGGCACACAGGAGGCAGAAGCAGGCGGATCTCTGTGAGCTCAAGGCCAGCCTGGTCTACATAGTGAGTTCCAGGCCAGC